TAACCCTAACCCTAACCCTAACCCTAACCCTAACCCTAACCCTAACCCTAACCCTAACCCTAACCCTAACCCTAACCCTAACCCTAACCCTAACTCGATTCGTTAGTCGAACAGCGCCATGTGTCCCGCATCTACTGCCTTAACAGAGGTCCCTTAAGCTTTAAGCGTCAACAGACATCCCAAGCTTCAAAATGCTTAAAGCCGCTCCCGGGGACTGTCCATTTTCTCGACGCCGATCTATCGAAACCTCATTTTGGCCTCTCGAACCAGACTTATTTAAAACTCTTGAATGAAGTCACCATTGTAATCCATAACGCCTGGCAGGTTAATTTCAATTTATCAATTGATTCTTTCGTCGGCCAGATCCGAGGCGTTCAGCAAATTATCGAGTTCTCGGCATTCTCGAGGTTTGGTGCTCGGCTCTTCTTCATTTCGAGCATAAGCGCTGTTACAGGGCGACCCGGTGTCGTCCCCGAGTACGTCTACAAGGACTGGCAAACGGCCGGAACGACCGGGTATGGAGAGTCCAAGCTCGTAGCAGAACGAATGCTAAGTACGGCTGCCGAAGAAGCTGAAATTCCTGTCGTCATCTGTCGTATTGGTCAAGTGGCGGGACCTACCACCAAGTCCGGAGTCTGGCCGAGGCAAGAGTGGCTACCAAGTTTGATTGCGAGCTCGAAGTATATGGGCAAGCTTCCTATGTCTCTAAACCGTATGGAGGTTATAGATTGGATCCCGGTAGATTTACTAGGCAAGAGTATCGTCGAGCTGGCGGTTCACCCAGCGAACCCCCAGAGCAACGGCGCGGTAGTCTATCATACAGTCAATCCGCAGCAGACGACGTGGGAAGCTCTGTTACCTACCGTTACACGGTGCCTTGATTCGACGGGGAAGATGGAAGTTGTGCCTCTTGATGCTTGGGTTCGGGCGCTACGTGACAGCGCACGTAAAACTGATGATTTATCAGCAAATTCAGCAGTAAAACTCATCGAGTTCTATGAAGGCCTCTCAGCGGACAATATAAAACAAACCCAATTGGATACTGAGAAGGCGGTTCAAGCGTCGGCCACATTAGGAAGTTTGGGTCCAGTACATGAGGCATGGATGGAAAATTGGATAAGACAGTGGGCGTCGTAGCATCGTTAGCATGTATCCCTTTACCAAGTGAGATGGCGAAAGCGTTCAGTCGAACCTGTCTATGGCATCTCTCTCTCTCTCTCTCTCTCTCTCTCTCTCTCTCTCTCTCGGCTTTCCTTTCGTTATTTCCGTATTTTCATTTTCCATTTGATAGACGTGTCCTCCTAAGCCCTGAGAAGGCCGGGCATAGAGCATTCGTATAGGTGCCTAAATCATGTTAGAGTCTTATCTTTTTGGTACTTGTTAGGAATGACTGCAAGATTGATAAACGGAGATATTCGATCATTACTATTATGATTACAAATATCAGCGCTTGATACTGGTACCTCGTGTATTCTGTAACGATACTCATTGTTCGTCTTCGACCTACTCAGCCCGAATAATTGCCGTTCCTGTGCCTCGCATCCGCTCATGTAAAAAGCGCCGCCCGCGTCTTGAGCATCGCGATCCTGAGCGTTGTTGAATACTTTCATCATCGTGTCCATTTGCATGCATTCGCGAGCGGCCGAAATACTGCTTTATGCCGGCTCAGGGGGGCAAATGTCGTTAATGGCAACCTTTGCGCCCTTCTTCAAACTTGGCACTAATTACTGTAGGATCTTAACACGATAGTTGACAATTCGGTTGTGAAAATACCGTAGCAGATACGCGTCGGCATCTTTTACTAGCTACGAAGTGAAGGATTCGTACTCCGTGCCGTGGATGTGACCTTTCAAGCCTATGATGACCTCCGGCTTATCTTAAACGATTATTTCCATATCTGGATACTTACCAGCCAGAACTAGAGCTATCTCTCTATGTGCTTCATATATTATATCGACCACGGTGTGGGCATTGCCAAAGTCATAACCCCCCACTGGTATTTCATACCGAAGCCGAAAAGCATGAAAAACTCTGCACGTTCATAAAGCACTGCTGCCGCACTATATCGCGCCTTATAACATCGAATGGATTGTCATCCGTGTACGGCCTAGCGAGTGACCGCTCTCGTTAAGCTCTTCGCTTCCCGACTATCGCTCGGTTCTGTCCACGGTCCGCGCCGGTACCGGCCAGAACTCCTGGGCGAGGACAAAATATTAAGATAAAGTGATGTTATTTTTTAGATTACCTTGCCGGTCCTTCTAAGTAAATTACCTCATAAAACAGGTGCATACAACTATCGATCAAAATTATTGTAAATTGACATCCATCAATTCTACCATATCATTTAGAAATATTTAACATATTAACAAAATCAATAAACGTTTACAAATCTTTTGATATTTGAATTATCTACATTCCAACTGATTGAATATTGTTAGCTTTATTAAAATGCGACTGTATTGGACGGAGTGATTATAAATGTAGTCTACAAATAAAGCCAACTAATATTGCATCCCTCGGCCATAACAGCTCATTCAATAATAACCACTTCTATCAATTGAATCAAGATGATAGGGCCAATCTAACGACATTGAATTTCTATACTGATACTTTACTTTGGGCAAGATATTAAGGAGTGATAAAAATAGGTAGGAATTAACCGGGCAGGTCTTGTCAAATGCCCACGATTTCAATACACAAATCAATTAAATCAATTAGATCAGTGAGGAATCTCCTCTTTTTAATGTCAAAGGCCGAATTTGAAGAAAGTTGGGAAGCACAACAAGGCCATGTCATTTCACTAATAATGTTGGTTGCCAGCTACTTGCACCGTGGGATAATCTACTTCGAAAGGCTGTCTCTTGGTAATCTAAAAATACATAGCATCACTCTTAAAAGTCACGGCATGTTAACTGTGATAAATTTAATTCGTAATTCGCAAATGACTACGTACTTCTAGTCAACAAATTTTATATCGCAACCCCAGGCAGTCATGAGTGGACTTCCAGTAAAACGCGATCAAGTTCAGTTGGTATATATATATTGAAATGTACGGATAAACGAATGCGAGTATAGTCGTACGTGCGTTTATAAGTCTAAAATCTATCTTAAGAATACGAAACCATGGGATTTGGCATCTCTCCGCGCTCAAGTCCGTCAATCAGGCCATAGGCATCTTCGTTAAATTATGCTGATGTTGAAGCAGGCGGGACTGATGTACCGCTAGGAATTCCGACGGGCACGCCGCTTGGAGGAGGACCGCCAGGACCGCCGGCACCGGAGTCAGGATTTGCGACACCACCTTCCTGGTAGTAGAAAACAGCCGGGGTAACTGACTGAGACTCGGTGGCATTAATACCGAAAGCGACCCAGGCGAAGAGACCGTCAGTGATGCTCTCGCCGAGAAGCGTGTATTCAAAGAACGGGTCGACACCGTCGGTAGCGGTCTCCTCGCTCAGGATACTGTCATCAGCATTCGAGGTGAGCTCCTGAGTGTTGGTAGAGTAAGGCGCAGTAAGTTCAACGGCAGTGATCAGATCTTGGTCGAAGAAAACCTGACCAACATGGCTAGCGCTCACGTTATTGCCAAGGGTCGAGTTGTCGAAGAGCACGGCATTCTGGTGGATCATGATATGGATGTGAGTGGCGCGGCTCGTATAGTGCCCAGGGAATATAGACTCGAACTGAGCGACGCCGTCGGAATCGGTTTTTTGGATGCCGCGGAGCCAAGTATTATTAATGTTAGTCTCGTCCGAAGAGTCTCCGTTGCCGCTTGCGACGATGCCGCTATATACACCGGTAGCATTGCAATGCCACATCTCCACATAGACGTCCGTAACAGGCTCGCAAGTGTTGACGTCGATTACCTGATAGTCGAGGATGGTGTCAACTCCAATCTGGTCCTCGATGATATTCTGTCTAACATACTCGCCACCGACGTCTTGATCCGGCATTAGTAATTATCACCTATCGGTACGATCTACTTACAGTAGGGACCCTGAGTGACTTCAGGGGTTAAGAGGCAGGAATTATACCCAGAGAAAAGGGTAGCGGCGCTGGTGCAGGGCGTATAGCCGAGGTCGGTAGCATTGTGGCTAGTAGCTAAGACAGAGCTGAGGTCGCGTTTTTTCAAGCCCCCTATAGGTAGTTAGTTAGCATTTCCAAGTCAGAATAGGCGCGGAAGATCCTTTATTTATCTACGTACTCTTGGCCCGGGCCTTTTGGAGCATGGCAGCTCGGCGCTGGACGTTACGATTCGCAACACCGCGTGCTTTCAGCTGAGAAGCGCAGTGGCCGAGGCTGGTGCGCTTAACGGAGCCGAGAAATTCACGACGCTCTTTAACTTCCTGGGAGATGTCATGGCCGGGATGAGCAACAGCAGAGCCGGCTAGCAAGGCTAAGCCAGAGAGTACGGATATAGAGAATCTCATTTTCGCTAGTTAATCAGCGATAGATAAAATAATGATATAAGTACCGCAAACGAAGGGGGTCTGACTGATAGTCTTTTCGATATAAAAGAGAGATAGATTTTGGTGCTCATATTGTGTGGACAGACCCGGCATCGTCGCCCCTTTATACTACCTCGCTTCTACTCCATAATGATATCTCATTCTCCTCTTCGAGGTTCTCAAACAACCTGTGGATCAAGATTCATCATCGTGAGATCTTGGCGGTTGAGGATTACGTATGTATTAGAAGTCTTATTATTGGTTGCTCTATGGGGCAGGCCGAATATGATGTAGCTAGGTTAGATCTCTCCGTTAGAAATTTACCGCAGTCCCGCATGGGTAACACTATTCCCAAAACGGACCGAGGCCGTGATGGACCCGGCATTCTAGATCCTGCAACTACAGAGCTAACAACTGGACCGGGGTTTACCCCGGTGTTCTTACGACGTATTTCTACTAATGACAATTATTGTATATAATATATCAAAGTCAGTCACAGGGGATAACCCACTTGCGTATACTAACACTGACTTCTACTCTAGCTTCTATGGAACTGTGGGGCATAGACGCGCGTAAGGATCCTCTTACCAGGTCAATGTTGTCGCGTCAATCAGCCTCTCCGTCTTCGACGCCGAATGTTACATACGCTCCCGACTACTCGTTTCCTCCAACTATTAATTATTCCCTACTGTACCGAGTCACGTATGAGATGAGGTACTTATTACTGCATCACGATATTGAGTCACTATCTAGAAAGCGCTACACTGCTATACTAGAACAATCCTTAATAAAGCACAATAGCATAAGTTGTGATATGATAATAAATGCATCAGCAAGTTGAAAAGAAAAGCTGATAGATAGTTTAAACGAGGAGCTTGAAAATATTTATTAATAGCATGCAGATCAACTCTATAGCAAGGATGTATAGAAAGAAGTATTGACTTCTCTCCTTTTCTTGCTTGCTTTAGTATTTCAACTCCTGTTACGTTACACGTGAATGGATATGATGATGGTGCCCCCGTAATTGATCTTTGGACGTCGTATGGTTGAGGCGTTTTTACCTAGTATCTAGGGTTTATAAAAATATATGACGCACTAAGGGGGGTCGGCATACTCCTTCATCTCCTTCTAATATCAAATGTACTTCATGCCTTTTTACTTACCAATGAAGCTATCAGGGTAGGTGGGTCTACAGGGGTCTATCTACTATATAAGGGGCACACAGCCCCCTCGCAAGAAGATAGAAGGCCAGGCGTTACTAGATCAATACAATATATTACTCGGTCTACCTACCCTAGACACTCACTCTGTGTATAACATCGATCAACGGGTATAAATCCTGACAGAAACTAAGACCTCGACTTCACTCCGTTAAGCTATTATCATACCGTAGTCATTCCTTAAGCGTGATACGTAGCCGTTGCCGTCACGGTAAACGAAGACGAAAGCCAGGGTAAGTCCTAAGGCCCAGTACTCAAACTACCATTAAAGCAGTAACCTAGGCCGTTAAAAAGGGCTTCTTAAGCCTTCATGTCGCTCTCCGCATGTTAACGTTAGAATAACAATACATTCATCCTCAATTTAGGAATACCTACATGCTCCTTAGCACCTAACCTATGTGACGACATGTCTGATTGTAGAGCCGCATTACCAAATTGAACTAATAAAGATAGACACGCAGTAGATTACTATTTAGTAAAACGCCGGTGCATCCTTACAGCTCACCGAAACAAGAACCGTTATCGTGTATCCTTTCTCACAGGTATGTATTATCTTAGCATGGGCAGACCTAAGGTATGATTTAGGTACCTAGGTACCTAGGTATATAAGACGTTAAATTACAACTTCACTCCGCGTCACCTACTAATCTCTGTAGAACTGGGTAGGTTAAAGTACGGACGCTTAAATAAAGAAATCTAGTTAGTTAATTATTTTGTGGTTGCCATATCTTAATCTCATTCTTTAAATACCTAGGTACCTAGGAGATGCTCAGGTCCCTAATTCTTGCCTCGCAGAACGGCCTCACATTCTAGACCTCTTAACATTAGGTTCGATTTCATACCCAGTCCTTTCAAGGCTCTTTAGTAATAACATATATAAATGCAAACATTGAGCCTTGATCCAACTTATTTAGTCATGATCCTCTTCGGTTACTTTTGTCCCGAGAGAATATTATGTCCGGTGGATATCAAGGTTGTTTGTTCTGCCGCCGGGTGAGGAATTCTGCCGGGGTTGCCGCTCCCCTCGGTAGGCCAGGGTGTTTGTACTCCGTTGATGGGATATTTTCCTTTTTGGGCTTGAAGAAGAAGACAGCTGCTGTTGCCGGATATTAGGGATTCTAATTTCACACAAGATATGTGCGATCTTTGGACGCATGCGCTATAGCAATACCGCCCCGGTTTAATTTCTATTGCATAGGTTCAGGCATGAATATAGATTATGGGTAGGAAGTAGGGATTAAAGTATATATGAGTGTGCGAAGGGTTAGATGTTGTGAACGTCAACATGCGCCTTGGATATATTTCTGGCTCTCTTCGGCGTCTTAGTTAATACACCAGTCACAATGTTAGGCGCATCTGCTGTTCTGGCCTTAGCATGCCTCAGCAAGGGCGCCCTCGCCGCATTTGGACTTACTACTACGAGTAACAGATATAAGGTTTGTGAATTATTATTTATGTATCTTACCTTCTACAATACCTAGCTGATTATTGCTATACTAGGTTGACACAAATGGCGGATTGGTATTCGAGGTCGATAGGTCCTGACCACTACTCTGGTGATATGGCTAGCTAAGCTAAACGATCCCAGAGCCAATGGAGATATTACCAGTTTGGTATTCAACGGGGTCGAGTACCAAGGAAAGGGGAAAGCTTCGGCTATTAATTCAGGCCTCGGGACGTCGCAACTGTCCGCGGAAACGATAAGTAACAAGCATATCAAGATTACAGCGAAGGCCAATTCACTACCTGTAACACAGTACTATATAGCGAAGCCGGACGACCCGACTATCTACATGGCAACTTATATCACTGGGGAGGTTAGCCCGGGGGAGCTTCGATGGCTTGCCCGCCTACGGCAGGAGAATTTGCCTACCGGTGTGCACGGGGACGTTGGCAACACCATCGGTTGCACAGCTTTTGAAGGCAAGGATACGTTTCGATGCCCAAATCAAGAAACTCGCTGCAAGATGTACACAAGCGATCGTTTTATCGACGACCAGATACATGGCGTCTCAGGATCTGTGAGCGTCCCGGCATAAACTATAACCTATGTAAAAAGCCGACTAACTTTGTACCTACTGCAGAACGCGGCTGTATGGATGATCATGCCTGGTGTTGCGTATGAGACTTCGTCGGGGGGGCCATTCATGCGTGACATCAATAGCCAGACCGGTAGCAGCGATCAAGAACTATATTGGTACATGAACAGTGGACACGTTCGAACGGAGCCGTGGCGCTTTGGATTGATGGGACCATATGCCATGAAGTTTACGTAGGTTTCGAACCCTTCCATCCAAAGATAAAAATAAAATCATCTTATAACCCTAACAATATTACAGCAATAAGGCAGACAAGCCTTCTCCCAGTTTAGATACGTCCTTCTTTGGTGCTCTCGATATTCAGGGCTACGTACCAGGTAACCAGCGTGGTTCCGTCTCCGGTGCAGCTTCTGGGGTTCCGCAAGATTTCGATGCCGTCGTCCACTGGTACAATGACAAAGCACAGTATTGGACTAAAGCTGCGAACGGAGCTTTCAAGTCTCCCTTGATGAAGCCGGGTACGTATACTATGAAGCTTTACATGGGTGAGTACGAGGTAGCCAAGGACACAGTGACTGTTACGGCCGGGAGTGATACGGCCAAGGATATCGCTTCGGCGGAGCCAAATCCTTCAGTCGTGTGGCGTATCGGAAACTTTGACGGACAACCCCTGGAGTTGAAGAATGGAGACAAGATTGAGCGGATGCATCCTAGCGATGCTCGGATGGGATCTTGGGGAGGTACTTACACAGTTGGCCAATCCTCCGCGCGCGATTTCCCTATGGCCCTCTTCTCGAAGACCGGTGGCAATGTGAAGGTAAACTTCAACCTCGCCGCCAACCAAGTTCGAGATCTCACATTAAGGGTGGGAACTACACTTTCATTCAAGGGAGGTCGCCCATCGGTGGCTATTGGAAGCTGGACCGGAAAGGACCCAGGCGCTCCGGTAAGTCCACCCAGACGATATTGCGCAGTGTTCTTGGCAAAGCTAAATGGCATCTCAGAAACTAATCGATTCTCGCGGGGTTACTCGCGGAGCATATCGCGGGTATGGCGAAGTCTACACGTGGACAGTTCCTGCGAGCGCCTTTAAAACCGGGCAGAATACTCTTACACTTGGTGTATATGGCTCCGGTGATGAGGACTTCCTAAGTGCAAATTATATTGTTGATGCAATCGAGCTTCAAGGCCCGGCAGAAGCTAAGTGAACCATCATTATGAAGCAGACCGCAAGCCAGCCATCCACTTGGCTTTTTTATTATCATTTCTAATAAGTCAAACCACCCTTACTGGGGCCACCCTAGTGGGGGCCACCCATTTCCCATACAAAATCAACGATTTCGCATATCTGTATTTAATTCAATAAAATAGATAAAATTATAAGGTCTTTGATTTTAAGTACGGTATTGGATTCTCACCAGGTATAAAATTTTGAAAAAATGGCAGGGCTAATATCTGTGGTAAAATGAATACAAGATTATACACTAACAATTACACATACAAATTTATATGTAAAGCTGTTAAGGGATATTATTGCTTATAACTTTACCAATTAATATGGTATAAATATAAAATCTATATAATTAAATAAAGAACATTTTAATATAACTTTTAAATTTAAGGCCAGTTATATAACTTATTTATATGAGAAGTTATAAGCGTTTATAAGGTTTTGTAGTAATTTAATAAAATTCCCATATAAAATTAAAATTTTTAAAATTTTAAAAATAACATTAAAAATACACTTTACTATTTTACTATCAAAACATTAGATTTTAAATATGATAAAATGTACATAAGCTATTATAATGATCGAAAGGTAAAACATCAGAGATTATATATTTTTATCTATTTCTTTGAATTAATTATAGACATGCGAAGTTGTTGATTTTGTATGGGAAATGGGTGGCCCCCACTAGGGTGGCCCCAGTAAGGGTGGTTTGACTTATTTAGAAAAACAAAATGCTAAGTATGTGAAGTTGAAAATTCTATCATATTTTATAACCGCTTCGGCGACAATTTGCGTCAGCTGAGTGGCACTGGGACGTATAAGGGACCCCCACCATAAGAGCAAATACGCGGTCTCGGTGGCGTGCTTTTCGCATCGCGGAACGACCCAGCACCGCAGGATTAGTGCCGCTCACAAGCTTATTCGGACAATCAGCTGACCTTCAATTATATCCTGCGCCAGTATAATTAAAATGGTTAATCTCGAATCTTTTAAAGTTATCATAGCTGGTGGAGGTATTGCCGGCTTGACCTTGGCTAATGCTTTGGAGAAGGCTGGTGTTGACTTTCTCCTGCTAGAAAAAAGAGAAATTGCTCCTCAAACTGGGGCCTCCATCATTATACAATGCCACACTGCGAGGGTACTGGAGCAGCTGGGCATTTGGAACGAAATATGGGCAGCAACGTTTTCGCTCACGGGTCGTCTTCATTTCGATGAACGCGGAATTCTATTTGACAGTTCATCCATTTTCAAGCAAGTAGAGGAAGCGACTGGACGGTCAATCGTACTTATAGAACGTCGCTCTTGTCTTAATACCCTATATAACGGTCTTAAGGACAAGTCCCGAATTCTCGTGAACATCGGCGTAGCGTCTTTTTGGGAAGACGAGCGCGGCATAACAGTCATAACCGACCGCGGGGATAGCATCAGGGGTAGCATTCTCGTAGCGGCCGATGGTGTTCATAGCACAATCCGCGATCTCTTAGCTGGCGCAGTATCCAGGACCGACCCTGAGAGATCCCAGTATCTTACTAAAGGTAAGTCAACTTGTTCTCGTAGGGAGGGGTCACCTTTAACATATCTTATAAGGGTTCACTTCTAGCTATAGGGCAGTCTTCGGTACGTCGGCAAATGGGCCAAGGGACGGTCTTACGAGACCGCTACTACCGGAAGGAATAGTTCACCATGTTTATTACAGGAATATTTCAGGAATCACAGCAGCAGGAGCAAAAGGACTCATTTTTTGGTTCCTATTCATAAAGGAAGAAAAGCCCTCAACAACGCCCGACTGTCCGCAGTACGCAGAGACTGATACTAGAGCAACTATCGAGAAGTACGGAAATCTATTTGCGTGTTCGGGGTACACATTCAGCGACCTGTGGGAGGCTAGATCTCACGCGGGCATGGTTTCCATGGAAGAAGGAGTTGTTCAAGGGCCTTGGAATAATGGCGGTCGGGTTGTACTTGTTGGAGACTCTATATGCAAGGTAAGGCTCGGGTAATTTTGCAAGTCTAACTAGTAGGTATCAAGTTCACATTTGTTACAGACAACAATTAATTCCGGCTTTGGAGGTAACCTCGCTATTGAAGGGGTCTGCAATCTTGTTAATGGGCTAGTGTCATTGCTGCGAAGAAATCAAGCGCCCACAACCCAAGATATCGTAGCGACCTTTAATAGATACGAGCAAGTACAACGTCCGAGGGCCGACATTTCTGTAAAGATATCACACTCCACCACGCGTTATGAGTCAATGGATTCACTTTGGTTACGATTCTTGCGATGGCTTTCTCCTTGGATCCCTTTAAGTTACCAGGTTAAGAGCTTTCTAAGTTATATGAATCCAGCGCCTATTTTGGAATTTCTATCAGATTCCGGCTCGATCAGACCTTAACTCTGGATAATTCATATAAGAGTTAAGTGTAGGGGTTTCATATATAGGTACAGTAACTCGAAAAAATAAACGTTAAAAGTTTTTTTACCTTGCCATTACCCTTTTATTATACTATTACCTTTTTATTTTAATAATTAATTATATAATTAATTTATATTTAATCTTTTAATAATAATAAAAATAAATAATTTAAAAATAAGGCTTTAATATAATATATATATTATTTAATTAATATTTAATATATTAACCTTTTATTTTAATAACGGTAATTAATTTCTTTAATATAATTAAGGTTAATTTATTTAATATTTTCTTTTTAAATTTATCTTATACTTTTAATGTTATACATATAAATAAATTTAATAAGGTAATATTTAAAAGTATTAATAATAACTTAAAATGTTTAAAATAAATTTTATTTTTAAAAATTTTTTAAAAATTTTTAATAAAGTTAAATTTGGATAAATATAAGGGTTAATTTACTAAAGTAACCCTTTTTTACTTAACCTATTTACGTAATCAATTTATAATTATATAAGCCTTATAAATAAATACATTATTTATAATAAATATATTACTTTTTTTATATATTTATAAAAGGATTTCTTATAAAATTTATAATTTCGATACATTCGATATTAAAATTATTGTATAAATTAATTAACAAAAATCGTTTTTTTATTTAAATATACCTTAAAACATTTAAAAATACTTTGTTAATTTATTTTTTAATTAAACATTTTTTTATATAATTTTTTACCTTAAAATTAAAATTTCAATAAATTATATATAAATAAAATTAAATAAGTTATTTTAAAAAATAATATACTTTTCGATAAAACACTTACGTTTACTTTTTACCATCGTTTTAAGTTATTATTAATTTATTCGAAAAAAACCAACGTTTTTAATATAAAAAAGGCTTCTTTACATATTATCGGGTAAAAATTAAACGTTTATTAACATATTTTTATAATAATTTCGGTTTGTAAAACGTTTTATAATATATTATACCTTATTTTTAAAGCTACGTTATAATAATGAACTGGTGCTGGTGTATCAGGTGACCTTGACCTTGATCATGTGATCATATTCTTAGTATAAGTACCATTTATGGTCGCACACACCCATTTTACATAGTATCATCCACTTTTAATACAAGTCATTCCTTTCCTTCATCACCACCATTTAAAAGTCCTTGATATCAGGTCTAATAAGGCTTGATCCAAGGCCAAGACGTCTAAGTCTTGTTCAATAATACGGTTATAAACCTTTAAATTAATTTTAAAAAAAATTTAAAAAAACAAAACGAAAAGATTTTTACTAATAAATTAAATAATATACCTTTTATCTTATAATTCGAATTTATAATAACGCTTTCGACTAAAGCGTAAAAAGGTTAATTTTTAAACCTTATATTAAATATTTACTTAATATAAGTTTTAAGTTAAAATATTTTTTATAACTTTAATTTACTTAATTAAAAAGCTTATTTCGAATATAAATTCAATCTTTATCTTTTTGTTAGTAAGTACGTATGTAAATAAGAATAACAATAATAATAATAAAGTAATAACAAATAAATTAATGGTATTAAAACTGGTATATTAAAATATTTAAAGAGGGAAGAATTTATTTAAGGCTAATTAAATATAGCATATTCTTATATTCTTATAATAATAAATACCTAACCTTTTTATTTAATAACGTTGGATATTTTATTTCTTCTTTTTTTATCAATAATAAAAGCACTTTATTATTAATAAAATATTTTTATATTAATATTATACAACTATTATTTATTTTATTTTTTTTTGCAATTAATTGATTGTAAAATATAATTAAATAAATAAAACTTTAAGATTTATACTAATGCATACTTATGTTAATCTAGATATGTATTATTATGTATTTATACTTTCACATATCCGTAATTATATATATTTATGATAATTAAAGGATAAAATTATAATAGTTTAAATTAAAAATTATCTTATAAGTAAAATTGCGTTAACATATATCGTACCATCCCATTCTTAATATATCCTTCTTTATTTTTTGCAATAACCTACGTTTAAGTTAATATTAATAATTAGCCTTAATAGTTTATTATTGCGTTAGTTTAATATTATTTCCAATTTCCCTGCGTTTTATTTATTCTTCTAAACGTAAATTAATTTAATTATTTTCCATTAATATTTTTATAACTTTATTTGGAAACGTTTTTATTATTATATCTATTAAATTATAATTATTATATATTTATCAAATATTATTAATTTCTTTATTTTTATACGATTATCTTAGGGCCATAAGGTTAATTATTAATTTCTTCTCGTTAATATTATTTATTTAAACGAAGTATTAATATAACAAGAAAAGATTTATACATAAAACAAAAGGGATTATTGGGAAGTTTAGTTAATTTAAAATAATATTAATAATATTATAAATAATGTAATTTATATTAAAACTTTATATTATTTTATAGATTTTACTAGTAAATACATTATATGTAACGTATTTATATTTGGTAAAAGATTAATGGATAATATTACTGATAAGTTATATTTTATTATTATGGTTTATAAGTTTTTTATTGTTAAATATTACGATGTAGCTAATTTGGAAGTTTATGTTCTTATTATTAGTGAATAAGCCATTTATAAAAACGTATAAGCGTAGTGAACAAGACTTAGACGTCTTGGCCTTGGATCAAGCCCTATTAGACCTGATATCAAGGACTTTTAGATGATGAAACTGATGAAAGAAAAGGAATGACTTGTATTAAAAGTGGATGATACTATGTAAAATGGGTGTGTGCGACCATAAATGGTACTTATACTAAGAATATGATCACATGATCAGGATCAAGGTCACCTGATACACCAGCACCAGTTCAGTAGGTTTTAAGGGTTTAACTTCATATATTTAAAGCCTTAATCTTTATGGTTTATTTATTATTTAATTTTTATATTAAAGGTTTTAACTTCTTTTGGTTTAAGTTTTATATATTACATTATTATAAAATAGTTAAAAGTTATTTTAAGTTGGTAAATAAACGCGATATAGGTATTTTTTATATGTTATTTTATGAATTTCTTAATTATATTAGATGCCTTTAAGTTTAGTTTTTTTAGTCTTTTTGTTTATCCCTTTTAAATAGTAGAAATTGTTTTTTTATGGATTATAATTTATGATTTATTAAAGTCTTCGATTATATCTAGTTTTAAAACCTTTTAAGGTTTTGTTTTAATATTTATTTTTATAAAAACCTTATCTTCTTCGATTAGAAATTCTATTATATTAATATTTAATATTGATGGTTGTGTGACACTGACATAAAGGCACCTTATTGATGATAAGGTACCTTTATTGTAAATAAGGGAAGAAGAGATAAGATACTTAATTTTATTAGATAAAAGGGTTGGATATTTATTATTATTAGAATATAAAAATATGTTATATTTAATTAACTTTAAATAAATTCTTCCCTCCTTAAATATCTTAATATATTAATTTTAATATTATTAATTTATTTATTATTATTTTATTATTATTATTATTATTCTTATTTATATATATACCTATTAATACTAATTAATATTATTAAATAATAATAATATAAATTAATAAAATTAAAAAAATTATTATTATTTTAATTTAAAAATTTTTACTATAATAATATAAATAATATTAACATTTTTTTTATATTATTTTTATAATTTATAATAAGTTACAACTTCACCCCTTTATATAATTTATTTATATTTCTAATAAACTATCGCAATTTAAACCCTTTATCCACAGAATTATTATTATTTATATTATTAATCTTTCTTATTATATCTTAAAAAATATAAGTAAAAAACTTAATACAAACGTAAACTTACATTATATACAATCTTATTAAATAAAAAAATATAAATAAATTATATAAACTTTTAAGTTATTTCTTTAGTCAGATATTTATATTTAATATAATATTTAACCATATAATAATACAATAAGAAAAAATTAATTTTCAAATAGCTACGCCTAAATAAAAAATAATATAAATATTTTTTATATTAATAAACTTTAAAACTACCAATAATAAAGTATTATATATATATTTAATTAAGAAAATAATAATTAAATACTAAAAATAATTTAAAAAATTTATAATAAATAATTTTAAAATATTATCAAAATAATTATAATTGATATTATAAAACATATTAATATAAAAAAATATTTATATAGGAAAATATAACGTTAATTATATAAAGATATTTACTAACCTTATATTATTATATAACCTATCCATATAAAATATTACCAAATTAAAAGTAGTAAAAATAAGGTGGTTTAACGCATTAGTATAAAGAGTTTTAGTTTATAAAACCGAAAAAGAATCAATATACCCCGCTACATGCGCGTTTACATAATTATAAGTATTAATATAGCAACATTAAGCAATTTTTAATCCATAAACGCTAATACATATAATTATACCTATAAGATAAACCCCAATATAAAATATCATACCTTAAGCCTTACCCCCTTCTAATTTATAATATATATTATCTATTTTATAACTAAAACAAATATTACTTTTTATCTTCAACTAACTATTATTAATCCCTAACGTTTTACCGTTAATTTAATAATTAAAACCCACTCCCCAACCCCTTAACCAACTACTGCTTTAATATATCTCCCCTTCCCCCCTCCCTATATACTTAATCCTAACCCGCCACCATAAAATATACCAAATTATTCATAATAATTAGTATAATCTTAATAAAATAATTAAAATAACATTTAGATATTACCCAACCCCTTTCTCCTTTCCCTATCAACCTAATAAAAACTACCTATACCTTTTATAAAATAATAAAGGTATAACCTAAGATATAACCCTGGATATGAAATTGGCTAAACATAACCCCCTCCCCCAATTACAAAAAATACGTTTGGATTCCTTGGATCGCTACCAAATAATCCATATATAACATTAATAATTCCATTAAACGTTAGACTAAACAAAAAAAACTAATTTACCAAAAATTATAATTTTTCTTTTTAAATAACTCCACTA